AGGCCAAGGTGGGCGGATCACCTGAGGTCGGGAGTTCAAGACCAGCCTGACCAACATGGCGAAACCCCGTCTTTAAATAAAAGGAAAAAACAAAACAAAACAAAAACAAAAATAAACAAACAATTTAAAAAAACACACATCACTGGCCACAGAGGCTTCTGGCCAGAAAAATAACACCTCAAGGATCCTGTAACACTACCACCTGAGCTCCACCTCCCGTCAGATCAGTGGTGGCATTCAAGTCTCATAGGAGCACAAGCCCCATTGCGAGCTGTGCCTCTAAGGGATCTAGGCTGTGCGGTCCTCATGAGGATCTAAGATCGCTTACACTGATGAGACCGCCTGAGCCCAGGAGTTTGAGACCAGCCTGGGTCACATGATGAAACCCCATTTCTACCACAAATACAAAAATTAGCTGGGTGTGGTGGCATGCGCCTGCAGTCCCAGCTACAGGGACTGAGGTGGGAGGATCGTTTGAACCCAGCAGGGTTGAGGCTGCAGAGCTGAGACTGCACCACTGGACTCCAGCCTGGGCGACAGGGTAAGACCTTATCTCAAAAAACAAGCAAAACCAAACCAAAATGGTTTATCATTAAAAAATTGAATATGGTCAATATTCATTTTTTTCTCCTCAGTTCTACTTTAATTTTAAGCACTCAAGTAAGATCAAGCATCTGATCAGAATGGGGGAGACAGAGACGGCTGGGTCTGTTCAGGAAGCTGCATCCTCTCACAATCGGGGGATTTTTTTTTTTTTTTTTTTGAGACACGGTCTTGCTCTGTTGCCCAGGCTGAAGTGCAGTGGCACAAATCACAGCTCACTGCAGCCTCCACCTCCCGGGCTCAAGCGATCCTCTCACCTCAGCCTCTCGAGTAGCTGGGCTACAGACGTGCGCCATCACTTGACTAATTTTTTTTACTTTTAATTTTTTAGTAGAAACAGGGTCTCTCCAGAAAAATTACAGATGGCTCGAACAGGTAAACACTGAACGCCGTGGAACAAACAGAAGAGACAGTGAAGGCCTATCTATCCCTAGACACTCTTTCTGGAACATTCGTCTTCCTCACACCATCTCCTCTTGCCTTCCATGACACCCTAGGCTGCTGTCTTTTTTCCTACCTCTCTCTGGCCAGTCTTTCTTGGTCAGCTCCCCCTTTCTTGGCCAGCTCCCCTTCTTCTTGGCCAGCTCCCCCTGGCCCTGAGCCCCAGTCCCTATATGTGGAAGTCCTCTTGGGTCTCACAGCTTTTTGCCCCCCTTCTCTTTTAGCGTTTTCTTCCTATGAGATCTTCCAGTCTCCAGTTTTTAATGCCACTGCGTGTTCGCACTTCTATTCCCGTGCTTGTAATTGCAACCGTGACATCTAGCATGACACTTAGACGCTGTCCATGGAGGGACACAGGAACAAAGGAAGCGTCAGGAGTGATAAAAGAAAAGAAGAAAAGATATGTTTGTGTGTTTCTGCATGCTTCTGTGTCTGTGTCTGTGTGTGTAGGTTCTGGATGTTAAAAAAAAAAAAGAATACAAATGAAGAGGCCAACATCAGGGAAATATTTGCAGCAAATATGAAAAACAAAGTATTGCTATCTTATGTATAAAATGTTCATCAAATTAGAAATGGAACAGGCGCCGGCTCCAAGAACTAAACAGGCAAGAGGCAGGATCAGAACGTTCTCAGAAGAGAAGATACATTTAGTATACAAGCATAGAAAAATGTCCAGTCTCAGCAGGACTTCCACCAGTGCAAAAGAAAGCAAGGAGATACACAGTTATGTAAGAGGAACAAAGCTGAGAAGTTGTGAACGCTGTTGTTGTTGAAGCCAGTGAAACGGGCTCTCCCACAGCCAGCAAACGTATATAGTCCTGTTGGAAAGCAATTTGCTGCATTTGAGCCAGTAATTAATTATACCTGTGGCATAAATCCTAAAGAAATCATTCCATAAGCTAAAAAGCAACTTTTTAGAAATCATTTATACAGAATTAGATTAAGTAAACCTTGATATTTCACTAGATTTTTAAATGCCTCAGATTTTCCTGATAGTAGGAATCACCCAAAGTACTTATCATGTATGCAAGTCCCTCTCCCGGGGAAATTCTGATTCTGTACATCTGGGATGGTGCCCAGGAATCTATATTTTTAAAAGGCACTTTAGGCTATTCTTACCTTCAGACAAATTTGGAAAATACCGATTGAGGAAATACAATGAAATGCCATCATGAGGTCGTTAAAGCTAATGCGTGCAAAGGACATATAGTTCTGTGGGAAAATACTTAATGACATTTTAAGTTCTAAGAATGTCAAATGAAATAACAGGATACCAGGCTCGATGGCTCACGCCTGTAATCCCAGCACTTTGGGAGGCCGAGGCAGGCGGATCACGAGGTCAAGAAATCGAGACCATCCAGGCCAACATGGTGCAACCCCGTCTCTACTAAAAAAACCACAAAAAATTAGCTGGGCGTGGTGGTGTGCGCCTGTAGTTCTAGCTACTCGGGAGGCTGAGGCAGGAGAATTGCTTGAACCCGGGGGGTGGAGGTTGCAGTGAGCTGAGATCGCGCCACTGCACTCCAGCCTGGTGCCTGATGACAGAGTGAGACTCTGTCTCAAAAAAAAAAAAAAAATTAGCCGGGCGTGGTAGTGTGCACCTGTAGTCCCAGCTACTTGGGAGGCTGAGGCAGGAGAATCACTTGAACCCAGGAAGTGGAGGTTGCAGTGAGCTGAGGTTGCACCACCTCACTCCAGCCTGGAGACAGAGCAAGATTCTGTCTCAAAAAAAAAAAAAAAAAAAAGAAAGAAAGAAAAGGAAAGAAATAACGGGATATAAAAGTCTGTTAAGTATTGGTCTATTCAACAAATAAATATTTACTGAGCACCTATTAAGTGCCAGCCAGGCGGTGGGTAGACAGAAGAAGATGAAACAGCTGCCATTTGTCCTCACGGAGCTTTGAGTCTAATGGGGAGATAAGGAGTAAAGTTAAGAAAAAAGCAAACACAAATTCCCTACTAAACTAACTTCAGGCAATGATCTCTTTACAAATCCATTCTCTCCTTCCTCGGGCTGAGGGCTGCTGCAGAACCCAGCTGCTTTCTGTGGGATTCTAGCTCCATTACTTAGCAAGTGTTTGCAACTCTGTAGCAGCTTAGGAGAGAAATGGGGCTGGAAGGAAAGGGTGTGGTGCATGGATTTGGTAAGAAAGCAAGAAGGGTATGAGCACAGAGTTGGTAAATGACAGGTGCTGTTGCTGAATTCTGTAAGGTGGGGCAGAAAAGATTTTCTTTAAGGTGATTTCTAGGTACCTGTAGAGAGAGGTGCTGAAAACCCGCTGGCGGAACAGCAGCCCTGGTCTGGGGACCACCTGGGTCTCCACAAGCTAATACCACAGGTCAGAGGTCAAAGCACCCACCCCCCAAATCTGGAATCAGTATGAGTCTAGGACTGGGGCAAAAGCCCAGGGTAGGGACAGAGGGCTGTATGGATTGACCCGCCATTCAGAAACAGCCCCAAGTGTAAGCTTGGAGTTATCTCCAAATGAGATTATGAATACTGTCACAAAGGATCACCCATAAGATCGGAAAAAAAAAGTGAACTAGCACTTTTATGCTTGTGTGTTACGACTGGGCTGTATTGACTCTGATGCAGTCTGAATATTTTAAAAATAAATCATACACTCATCTGGGAACCAGGAAAATTACATTGTATTATAGCTGGTTGAAGTCAATAACATCCTGGATATGATAGTTTTTATAATTCGGGGTTGGCATTTCTTCCTTGTGTCAAAAACTATACTAGGGCCAGGCGTGGTGGCTCGTGCCTATAATCCTAACATTTTGGGAGGCTGAGGCAGGCGGATCACCTAAAGAGTTCAAGACCAGCCTGGCCAACATGGTGAAACCCCATCTCGACTGAAAATACAAAATTAGCCGGGTGTGGTGGTGCATGCCTGTAATCCCAGCTACACACAAGGCTGAGGCAGGAGAATCGCTTGAACACGGGAGGTGGAGTTTGCAATGAGCCAAGATTGCACCATTGCACTCCAGCCTGGGCAAAAAGAGCCAAACTCCCTCTCAAACAAACAAATAAACAAACTGTGCTAGAATCCTCAAATACTGAAAATGGTTTATGCCTGCCTTGACTCTGAGAGGCTATTCCAGGGCAAGAATGCTGCCTAGTACCCTCGAACCCTGCAGAGGCCAGGCCGGTGCTTATTTCCTTAGGGGTATTTCTGTGTAGATCATCTTCGGTGTTAATTTGTTCCTTTTCAACTTCCCAAGTTAAATAGGACATTAAGGTTCGGTTAAGAAGAGATGTCGCTGAGTGAGGGAGAACCTTGGGGTCGGTCTCTCTCCTGGGATATGTCCACCAGGGAGCATAGCTGCAGAATCAGAATACAGGAGGTGGCAGAGCTGGGGACTTAGAAGCAGCAGCCACCCGTGACCTATCTAAGCTGTCTAGTCTCCTGTTTATTTACTCATCCTGAGCACTGTCCATTGGATTTTTTTTAGAAAGGAAGGTTCATTGGTGTGGGATAGATAGTTGAGACCCTGAGACCTGTTGGTCCTGATCTGTAGGGAGCAGGCTGGATGACCTTGGCCTCAGGCCTGCCACAAATGTAACAGGGGAAGATGCACTTGGCCATCTCCAAGGGCCACTGCGGCCCAGAACATTCTACGTTGATAAGACTCAGAGCATGTCCCCAATGGCAAAAACAAAAGTCACACCTTCCAACTCAGACCATCCAAACTGTTGATGAGCTTCCAAGTTTTATTTGTGGACTCCCACAGGTCTGTCTTTATTCTAAACTCTTATCCCCCCAGTAATATATCTGTAATAATCCTGAAGCACGAATATCTTGAAATAGGTGCAGATGCCAGTATTTTCCCAGCAGAGCCAATAAAAGAGACTTTTGTTGACGTATGTTCATCATTCAGTGCTTTGAGAAATTAGGAAGTAAATGAGTTGCAATTCTACACGTTACTTGGCCCTTAGGACTATCTTACAGTGTGTGGTGTGTACCTTGTGCCTACTCGGGGCCATTCCTATTAAAATGAATTTGTAATGCAAACATGTCTTCAGCCGATGGGACCACAGAATCTCACCTTGTCATAAGAGACGCAATCAGAAGTACTGTGCAAACACCTTTCCCTGACAGAGTAAGTCTCTTGCAACCCAGTAGCCCCCTGCATAATCAAACAGTAAGCCAGATCCTAAGTGTTCTACATAAATGTAGAATATGGAAACTGTAGTCAAACAAAAATAGCAATAATGGGGTAGAAGCCAGCACACGGCTTGGGGCTTGCAAACTAAATTCTCACCACTTGTATGTGACCTGATAAAACTTCAGTCACGCCGGGCGCGGTGGCTCACGCCTGTAATCCCAGCACTTTGGGAGGCCGAGGCGGGTGGATCACAAGGTCAAGAGATGGAGACAATCCTGGTCAACACGGTGAAACCCCGTCTCTACTAAAACTACAAAAAATTAGCTGGGCATGGTGGCGCGTGCCTGTAATCCCAGCTACTCAGGAGGCTGAGGCAGGAGAATTGCCTGAACCCAGGAGGCGGAGGTTGCGGTGAGCCGAGATCGCGCCATTGCACTCCAGCCTGGGTAACATGAGTGAAACTCCGTCTCAAAAAAAAAAAAAAAAAAAAAAAAGAAAGGTAAAGTTGATAGCACACGTAAGCTGAATGAATCAAATTTCTGCTTTGTTCTGCTTTCACTAATTGCTGGCAGAGCCAAGTTGATGCCTGATTATGAAGCCGTGCTTCAGCTCCCTTAGCAAATCTGTTGCTGGAAGACAAGGAGGGAGCACTTACTTTTTGAAAGTAAACTGTATTTTAAAAGCACCAGGGGACGGGTCTATTTAAAAGAACAATGGGGTGAGTGGCGCTCTAATGATAGACTCTAGCTTGGAGACTCTGACTATCCTAGTTCCCTCTTGGGTCCCTTCTGGCTGACAGTGAAGCAAATAAACAAACACCCCCTGATGGAGGGGTCCTTAATCAGGGTGCACAGCAGTATCACCTGGGGAGCTGTAGCCCAGCACACACGCCCAGCCCCACCCACCAGCGTTACTGAGAGGGAAGGGATCCCCGCTGTGTGAGCTGGAAAAGCTCCCCAGGTGATTCCGCTTCAAGCTTCTGGTTAAACACCAAGGCTAATGAGCCTTATTTAAAAGCTCAGGTTTTTACATTCAGCAAAATCTGTTGCTTTTAAAATGGGCTGCCTTTGGAAAAGCCAGCAATGTTGCATGCCAGGATGGGACCCTCTCCCTGGAAATGAAAAAGCAACCCTTGAGAAGCGGTGCTGGGACAATAGGAGGGCAGTGGTTTCTCCTTGTGACCTAGGAGGGAAAGTCAGAGGGGGAGGCTGCCGGGAGTTCAATGACTTAATATGCAGCTAACCAGCCCTTTAATTAACTTGACAGGGCAGATAACAAAGCTATCACTAAGCGAGAGTTCCTTAATTGAAAGGGGGAAGAGAGACTTGTTTCATATTTTCAAAATAATCTGTAATGAGCATTACTAATTTGACTGTGTGTGTGTGTGTGTGTGTGTGTGTGTGTGTGTGTGTGTGTGTGAACAATGGCTATTTTGAGCTATTAAACGGGAGGTGAGCAGACCTGCACGTGGCAGCTCAGCTTGCTGTGTTTGTGCCTTACCTGGCAGCTGGTGCCCGCTGGTGCGTGACTGAAAGATGGTGCGGTTGGTTCTGTTAGTGTCCAGCTGTTCGCAGGCATTTACCTCGAAATCACTTGTGCTATCGTGGCCGTAGTATTTTTCCAGCCTCATCTCTTACTGAACTGTACCTCTAGCTCTGGGTCCAGTCACAATGAAGTAATTTGTAGTCTCTCAGTCATCCATGCTTTGCACATGCAATTTCCTCTCCATGGAATATGAAATACCCCCACTTCCCTCCCCTTCCTTCCCTTCAGCTTCCAGACTCCTGGCAGCAAGCTTATAAGTCACCTTTCAAATCTCGGTTCAAATGCCTCCTCTGAGATGAGTCATCTCTTACTCCACTTGCAAGACAGGGGTTCCACCTATCTCCTGGGATCCCGCGACCAGGCACTCTAGACTGTCATTCTAGCAGCTCACTGAGTGTATCACAATGGTGTGTTTTTGTGCCTGTCTCCCCACCATTCACGATAGTCGACATGCACTGCTCATTTCATCACTGCAGCGGTCCTACAGGGTGGCTTTTACTGTGACTCCCATTTCCCTGCTGGAGAAACTGAGGCTCAAACATAGTAGCCTGCCCAGCTCTCGCCACAAGTAGATGGTTTACCTGCGATACAGTCCAGGTTCATCTTGCTTCTAAGTTTGTGCTGTTAACTGCCATGTGAGCAAACTTCAATCAAAAACTGTCTTTTCTTTTTTTTTTTTTTGAGACGGAGTTTCGCTCTTGTTACCCAGGCTGGAGTGCAATGGCGCGATCTCGGCTCACTGCCGCCTCCGCCTCCTGGGTTCAGGCAATTCTCCTGCCTCAGCCTCCTGAGTAGCTGGGATTACAGGCACGCACCACCATGCCCAGCTAATTTCTTTTTGTAGTTTTAGTAGAGACGGGGTTTCACCGTGTTGACCAGGATGGCCTCGATCTCTTGACCTCGTGATCCACCCGCCTCGGCCTCCCAAAGTGCTGGGATTACAGGCTTGAGCCACCGCGCCCGGCTCTTTTTTTTTTTTTTTTCTTTGAGACAGAGTCACTCTGTTGACCAGGCTGGAGTGCAGTGGCATGATCTCGGTTCCCTGCAACCTCCACATCCTGGGTTCAAACGATTCTCCTGCCTCAGCCTCCCAAGTAGCTGGGACTACAGGCCCCTACTAACACACCTGGATAATTTTTGTATTTTTAGTAGAAATGGGGTTTCACCATCTTGGCCAGGCTGGTCTCGAACTCTTGACCTTAAATGACCCACCCACCTTGGCCTCCCAAAGTGATGGAATTACGAGCTCCCTGGTTCAAACACCTGTGACACCAGCCTACACATAACACACAGGGCTCTGGGGTGATTTTTTATGACAATAGAGATATAAAATGATATAGGGTAAACCTACATGGGCTGCTAAAGCACCGTCAGTTATGTGTGTGTTTCCATGTACTCGAAAAGCTGAGGATATTAAAATAAATATGACTCTATTCCATGTAGTTGAGATTGCCATCTTTTTTCATTTGGAAGAGAATTTAAGAAGTGCCGACCTGATTAACAACACTGCGTAGGTCAGTAACAGACTAGATGAAAATACTGTATCAATATTGAATTTACTAAAGTTGATCACCATAGTGTGGTTTTGAAAGAGAATATCCCCATTCTCAGAAAATATACACTGACGTAGTTAGGGGCAAAGGCCTGTGATACACACAACTGGCTCTCAGATGTCTCAGAAAATAAGTGTGTGTGCATGTGTGTGGTTGGCATGTGAGTCTGTGTGTGAGGAGGTGAAAGGGAATATTATTAACAACAGACGAATCTGTGTAAGGAATAAATGCATGTTCTGCCCGGGCGTGGTGGTCACACCTGTAATCCCAGCACTTTGGGAGGTTGAGGCAGGCGGATCACTTGAGGTCAGGAATTCGAGACCAGCCTGAAACCCTGTCTCTACTAAAAATCAAAAAAAAAAAAAAATTAAAAAATTAGCTGGGCATGGTGGCACACTGTAGTCCCAGCTACACGGGAGGTGGAGGTCGGAGAATCATGGAACCCCAGGAGGCAGAGGTCGCAGTGAGCCAAGATTGTGCTACTGCTCTCCAGCCTGGGCGACATAGCAAGACTCCAGCTCAAAAACAAAACACAAAAAGAATAGATGCATCTTCTTCATATTATTCTTATTTTGGCCAATTTTCTGCAAGTCAGAAATTATGTCCGAACGAAGAGTTAAAACAAATTGCTGACCTTGGAAGAAATGAACATCCCTGAGAACGTGTAATGACAATGTTTCTGTGAAATCCCGGGAGCAAGAGCTGGTGAGGCTGCTCAGTGACTGATGGTGGGACGAGGCTTCCTTCAGGCTGCCTTGTCATGGCTGGTTTTCTTTACCTATTGATGTGTCTTGAATATGTTTACAGTTCAGCTGGCCCAGTTCTTTGAGAGGCAATGGGGTTTCCTTGCAGATGTGCCGCTGGGAGGACAGTGGTGCCTGTGCCTGGAGAAGCCACCGGCCACGTGCTGGGGCAGAGGGACATATGGTAGCTCGACTCCAGCCACAGATGCAGCTCCCGCAGGAACAGTGGCGCCTGCAGTTGGAAGGGGCCCCCTCCAGCTCACAGCGCTGTGTGGACAGTAGCATCTGTGTGAATGCAGGCTCGCCCACTGTGAGTGGGGACAGTCAAGGCCATCTGTGGCCTTGCATCTGCTGGTCCCATTCACCAGGGCAACACCGTGCGTGGCCAACGCTAGACCTCCTGGCCCCAGTGCCCGCAGCTCAGCATTAAAATGTCAGCTTCGAAGGACTAGAATGTCACTTTGCTGTTATAGTCACCCCACAAGCGTTTTCTGAGCATCTTCCACTTGGGATTACTTCCTTTTTGCTAGGGACTGTGTCACGTGCTTACACGTCACATTTTATTTTTAGCTTTCATGCTGACTTTATTGAACGTGGTGCAGTTAACATGCCCCCCATTTTCCAAAAGTAGAAACTGTGACACAGAGGTTAAGTGGTTTCTGAGGTAACACAGAAAAAAATGTAGCAGAGATTTCCTAAACAAACTTGCAGCGTGGCAGGAGTGGGGGAGTGGGGGAGTGGGGGGACAGGGGGGTGGAGGGGGTAACAAGACCCACAAAGAACACTGGATCAGGTTGGAGGAAAGAGGTGCTCAGAGAGACCCAAGATCTTGGCTGGGAGGTGAAAAGGAGTGTGGCCACTTTTGATTCTTTTGATTCTGTAGGAGGCTTTATTGGGGAGGTGGCATTTGCGTGGATCCCAACAGGATGGTAAGAATTTTGAAAGGAAAATCACAAAAAGAGGGGCATCCAAATGGAGTCCAGAGAACATGGTGAAAAACCAAGCATGGGTTGAGATGGTAACTGTCATTTATTGACCTTTTTCTATATGCTAGGAACTGTGAGAGGCGCTTTAGATAAATGAACTCATTGAAACGGGAGCTTTCTTAAATGAGCCCTATTACCATCCTCATTTTAGGGTGAATGGAGGCATCCATGGAAGGTTACACGCATCTAGTGAGGTAACAAAGCCCACAGGCTTAGAAAGTGTTTCATGATAATAGTGAAATGATAATAGCAGGAAAAAGGAGGGGGAAAGAGGGGGAGGGGAAGAGGGGGGGTGGAGGAGGAGAGGAAAAGGAGAAGGGGGAGAGGAGGGAGGAGGAGGCTAGGAAGGAAGAAGGAGCAGGAGGAAGAGTGGGAGGAGAAGGGAGAGGAGGAGGAGGAGGAAGAAGGAGGGGGAGGAGATGAGAAGAAGGGAGAGGAGAAGGAGGGAGAGGAGAAGGGGAAGAGAGGGAGAAGAGAAGAAGAGGGAGGACAGAAAATAGGAGAAGGAGGGAGGGGGAGAAAGAGTGGGGACAAGGAGGGAAAGGAGAAGGGGAGGAGGGAGAGGAGGAGGAGGAGGAAGACGAAGGGAGGAAAAGGGTGAGGAGAGAAAGGAACAGGGGGAGGAGAGGGAAGAGGAGGAAGCGGGAAAGAGAAGGAAGGGAGAAGAGGGGGAAGATGAGGGAGGAGTTGGGGAGGAGAAGGGGAAGAAGGGAGAGTAGAGGGAGGGGGAGGAAGGAAGAAAGAGAGAGGGAGGAGGAGAAGAGGGAGGGGGAGGAGGAGGAGGGAGGGGAGAGGAGGAGAAGGGAGAGGGAGGAGGAGAAGAGGGAGGGGGGAGGAGGAGAAGGGA